AGCAGGGAATAGCTTTCTTAGTGTGTGATTCAATGTGGGGACTGGGTGCTCTCTGGAAGTGGCTTGTCCCACCTGTGGGAGAATCTTACTACAGTTGTTCCTTTGGCTTGGCATGTTCTTTTGGCCAGTATCTATCTGTTGCAGTTCTTCTCATAAAAGTTTTTTTTTAATTGAGGTGAAATTCACATAACATAGTATTAAACATTGTTTTAGTGATCAGTTCAGTGGTCTTTAGTGTATTTGCATTGTTGTGCAACCACCACCTCTATCTACTTCCAACCCGAAGGAAACCCTGTATCCATTAAGCAGTTGTCACCTATCTGTGTTCTCTCCATGGATATGCCTGTTCTGGTCCTTCTCATTTTTGAAAGCACAGCTCATGTTCCTGCTTTTTCAGTAAGCCTCTCCTGGTCGCCCAGCAGGATGGCAGTGTGGAGTGATGGAATGAACACTTGCCTTCCAGAGCCAGCCTCCAATGCAGCACTTGCCTTGCCAGGTGACCTAGGGCAGTACTCGTTACACACAGTTGGCACCCAGAGAACGCTGCTTTCATTTTCTTTTCTCCCCCATACCAGGCATAGTTCTAGGTGCGCCATATACGTTCACTCATTGGTGGTCTTAAGAGGTAGCTTCTCTGATGAGGAGCCTGAAGCAGAGAGGTCAAGTAACCTTCTGTGATTGTATGGCTGATGCGGAGGAGTCCATCCCCTGTTCGATTCATACCTTCTGCTCTCTCCCCAGGAGGCCACTGTAGCTTGAGGGGAGACCCCAAGTGGAAGGCTAAAGGTTTGCGATAAACATTAAGTAGAACCGTAAGGATCCAAACGTTAGATTAAACATTAGATCCTGAGGATTGTGAACATTAAAGACAAAGACTACAGGAATATGCCTGAACCAGGTGACTGATTTTCACTTGCAGGTGTGGTTTCTGAGTTAGGGAGTTAGGGGATAGTTACATTTCTCAGGTTTGGGAACCCCTGGGAGCATTCCCTGGGATGCCATTACATTTTCTATTTTCATTGTGATGGTGGTCTAACAAGAAATGAAAACAGAAGTCTGTTCTGGCTCACCTGGTTCATAGTATTGGCTGGGGGCTGCCCTTGGAGAAGAGAGGAAGCAGGAAGGCTGGGGTTTGGTCACTGAGTGTCTCTGAGAAATGGCTCCTGAATTTGCAGTGGGCTGTCGCTGCAGGTTTGTTGTAGACATCAAGGGTGAGCGGTATTTAGCAGAAGGCAGAGCCAGGAGACAGTGGACTTGGACTTGAATCCCTCTTCCACTGCCTCCTGTGAGTCTAGCCTTGGGTGAAGTCTTTTCCTCTCTGGGCCTCAGTTCTCTCTATTGAATGGAGCCACTTTTCCTTCTTTGTCAAGGATTAAATAGGTCAGTAATTTAATGACTTAGCCCAACTAAGTCCCAACTAGGGGACCCAGTAGGTGGGCATCAACTCACAGTGCCTCTCTGGGTGGATGCAGCATTTGAAAGATTCTTCTGGGCCCTGGTAGGGGTGCCATATTCTCCACTTTATCATTGGGAGAAGGTAAGAAAGAGCGATAGCATTGATTGATTGCTCTGCCTGCCTTTCTCCGCAGAGTTCCCACATTCACAGACTGCAGAGCTAGGAGGGCGTGATCTCATACAGAAACCAGTGCCTGGACAAGGGAAGTGACTGTCCCTCTCACATGGCTAGCAAGTAGCCGGGCCAGGATGAGAAGTCATGCCTTGTGACTTACCACTCAGTGTTCCTCACGGCCAGAGGCCTCTCTGGGCACCTGGTGCAGTGGATAAGTGGCCCTGAGGCTACCTGTGCTGCCTGCAGCCTGTGAGACTCTCTTCTCTCAAGTCCCGTTCAGGGGCAAGATGGCCACAGGTGCCCCTCGTGAGGTTGACATGTCTCACTCAAGTGCTTCTCGCCTGCTGAGAGAGATCGCAGCCAGGGAGCGTGAGCCTCCGGGTTGAGACCTGCACAACCTCAGGTTGTTTTATGTAGAGAAGTCTTTTTTCTCCCATCATGCAAAGATGCTTTGCAGACTAAGGCAGAGGAGGCTGCTGATATCTCATCTAGAGCAAGTAGTAGAGCTAAATACCGTAGAGAATGTCTGGGATCATTGTGCATGTCAGGAAGGGTAGGTGCTAAAGCCTTGCTGTTCAAGTGTGGGCCAGGAACCAGCAGTATCAGTGTCAGCTGGGAGCTTGTGAGAGATAGAGTCTCAGGCCCCACCCTCGACCTTCTGAATCAGAAGCCTTTTGACAAGATCCCCAGGGGATCTCTGGGCACATTAAAGTTGGAGAAGCACTGCATTAAAAGAAGATCAGTAGTGAGACGATGGAGATTTTTATTTTCTTTGCACACTTTATTCTGATCTGTTGTTATTATTATTTTTTTTCACCTGAATTACTTTTATGATGAGAAAAAAATAGTGAAGGCATTTTCAGGGGGAAACCTTGTTTCCAATTGGCACTGTCCAAGGGCAAGTAGAATTCTTGGGTCTAGTGCTTGAAAAAAGGAAGAAAGCAAGCCTTTTAGATTAGGAAAGAGTGGAAACCAAACCTCCTGCTAAACAAAGAGCAGGGCTTATTGGTAGACACAGGTATCAAGAGAGGTGTTGGAGGGCTGTGGGCAGGTGGGATCTGTAACCATCCTGAATGACACTTCAAGATGGCCTCACGTCTGGTGGGAATGGTTGTGTAGGCTATCCTTTATCAAAAACTCTTCCAGAAAAAATAATAATGGTAATATTTAAGGAGTGGTTGTTTTATTGTGTTTGTGTCTCGGAGTATCTGTTGACTGGTTTCATTGCAGGGCTGGAGTAAGGCAGGATCCTTGGTATCGTGGTGTTAACATGGGCTTTAGAGTGGCTTGGTCTTGAGTCAGGATCACAATTCTACCAATTATCATAGTATTCAAATTTGAACAGAATCTAAACCCTTCATCATGATCTACAAGACCCTATGTATCTGCCTGTTTGCTCTTCCCTTCCCCTGTTTTGCTTTTTGCTCAAGTCACCGTAGACTGCCTTCTAGTCCTGAAGACCAGAGCAGCCCGTGTCCTGCCTCTGAGCCTCTCCCCTTGCTGTTTGATCTGCCTGGAACACTGGCCCCATATGTCCTTCCATGGCCACTCCTTGTTTTTATAAGGGGCTCAGCTCGAATGTCACCTTGCAGAGTGACATGGGCCACCTTGGGTAAAGCAGCCTTCTTGCTTCCTCCCTATCTTACCACTCTTGTTTTTCTTCCTAGTATGTCTAACACCATCTCATTGATTAGTTTACTTACACACTATTTGTTTCTTTCTAATAAAATTTTAGCTCCTTGAGAAGATGGCTGTTTTAGGACAAATTAGGATGGAAAGCAATGAAAAGAAAAAAAAAAAGAAGGTGGCTATTTTATACCAATTAACTCCCATGTCCCCAGCACTTAGAACATTGTCTGGCACAAGTAGAAGTTAAATGAATCCTGAGTGGATCAGTGTACACAATTCCTTGACTTTTCTGAGCTTCATTTTCCACATCTACATTGTGTAGGCTTGTAGGGTGGTTGTGAGGATCAGAGGAGATGCTACATGCAGAGTGCTCAGCTTCTGTCACGCAGGAAGGACCCGGCACATGGTGGCTGTTGTTACCAATGGACCAGCCCTGGCTTGACTTGGAGGAATCACTGACTGCCTCTGAGATCATGCCCTGCTGCTATGGCCTGGTGCTGCCCTCCTGTAGTTGCTCTAGAGGGAAGCAGCTTGATGGCAATTCAATGGCTGTGGTGTGCAGCATCTGTTCTTGTGACTTTGAATTTGACTATCCTTTGAAATGTTTGTGCTTTGTGTCTGGTGCATCATAATCAGATACAACAGAGCCTCATCTCTGCTGATTGGAGTCATTGAGCATAAGTTGTGGCTCTGACAACTGTCTGCCTGGTACTTTGAAGTGCCCTTGCCCCAGACCTTCAGTGGAAGTTCAGCATATGTCGTGTGTATCAGGTGGGAATGCTTTTGGTGGCAAGTAACAGTTCAGTGTCCAGTGGTTTGAATAAATGGGGTTATTTATTTTGAGAGAGTTAGGTTGTTTCTAGTCTTGGCTTAGCAACTCAGTGATATCAGGGCTGGTGTCTTGTGACTCTCTAGGCCTGTCCTTCAGGCACATGGCATCATGGTGGCAAATGCTACTCTGGCCTCACCCAACAGGTTTACGATTAAGGAATGGAGGATGAGGAAGGAATGATGCCCTTCATAGCTCTTCTTTATATCAAAAAGGCCTAACTTTCCCACAAATCTCCTTGTGCACTTATTTTTTTTTCTTTTTAAAATAATTTAAAAATCTGTGCTTTCTTCTTCTTCTTCTTCTTCTTTTTTTTAAAGAATATATTGTCGGACTCCTAGTGCACGTCTGCTTTCTTATCAGCCAGACTTCTTAAGGTCAGCCTCAGCTGCAGAGAGAAGGAGTTATTAGGTTTTTCAGCTTGCATTGCTGAAGGTGGTGTGGGAAAAGGATGTTGGAGGTGATGGTGAGATCAGCTAGCAAGCAGTGCCTGCTACACTGGTTAAACTTGTATCTTATTTTAGACTGCTGGTTGTCAACCGGGGGTAGTTTTGCTCCCCAGGGGACATTTGACAATATCTGGAGACATTTTCATTGTTACAGCTCCGGGGTATGTGTGTGCTAATGGCATTTAGTGGGTAGAGGCCAGGGATGTTGCCAAGCTTCCTACAGTGTCAGTAGTGCCACGGTTGAGAAAGCCTTAGTTAGGCCATTCTGGATGTGTTCTTCAAATTTGGGGAAAATTAGTTTAGCTGTTTTCCTGTGATGCAGTAACAGGCAAATGGTCAAACTTCATTGTGATGATATCCATTACTGGTACCTGGTCATCCTGTTGATTTTGTTAAAGATCAGCAGCAATGGACTGATCCTAGTTGGGGACAGCGACTCAGTGTAGCAAAATGTACCATGATGTCAGAAGTCTTAATGGAAGGCTAACTCAAGGAGAACTAATTAAGCCTCATTGCATTTTAGGATCACAGAACAATGACAAAAGACAATTTCTGCTGGAGCGACTGCTGGATGCAGTGAAACAGGTAAGAGGAAAGCAGATGTTTGCGTTTTGGGCTGCGTAATAGTGTCAAGTAATTAATGTAGAAGTCATTTCTTCCCTTTTATAGACACAGACTTACTCCCACTTTGTATTTGGGAATAGAGAAGCTACGTAATAGTTTTTCCCCCAGGAGATAACAGAGCAGGGAACATGGTCAGAGTTGGGATGGAGGAGTTCTTGTATCTTGAGTTGCCAAACCCTCTGGAGGCCCCCATCCTTCAGTGATGTCGCTTTAAGAAGGGCATTGATGTGGGTTTCAAAGTCTCATTTCCAAGCAGTTGTGTTTTAGGGCAACTCTTAGGGGTGCAGAGGTGGTGGTTTGGAGTCAGGACCCATGAGCTCAAGAAGAGGAATGAGGCCATGCCCCAGATCCTCTGCTGCTGCCAGCAGCTGTGTGGCCCCTCCAGGTGGCCTCTGCTGGGATCAGTTGATGCTGTTTTTGATGCCCAGCTATGGCTGAGCTTGAAAGTGAGCTTGGGCTGGAGGCTGGAATCAGTGTGCTTGCCTGAGTGTCCCAGATGCAGACTACTGTTAGCTGTCGATTACAGTGCATTCACTGTGTGCCAGGCTCTCTGTAAGTGCTTTACATTTAATCCTTTCAGTCCCTCTATGAGATAGTTCCTGCAGTTAGTTTCATTTTACAGATGAACAAACTGAAGCTCAGAGAGATCCAATAACTTGCTCAAGGCATCATAGCCATTAAGTGGCAGAGCCAGGATCCAAACCTGGGAATTCTAGGAGCTCACGTTCTGGAAGAGGCAATTGACAATTATGTGTGCATAATTACAGTATAGGGAGGTAAGTACTTTAATATGGCTGTGTGTTAAGTGTTGAAGTGAGCCCAGAGAATTTGGCATCTGCCCAGGTCTGGAAAGGCTTTGGGCTCTGACATGGCTGAGTTGAGAATACTACCTTCATCTCTCCAGCCTAGTGTGCTCGTCTCCTCTCCTCCTCTGTAATCGGGTCACACGTCTCCACGGGGCTGCTGAGGGAATCGGATTGTTAAGGTAGGTAAAGGGCCCGGGCAGGGCCTGAGCAGAGCCTGGTCCATAGTAAATATAGAGCCCATGTTTTTAGTTTGTTCATTTTTTGCTCCAGAAATGGCAAATATAACAAGGAGACGAGGAGGCAAGTTGAGCCACTTTATTTGTAGCATTTTAAGAGAAATAAATTGGAGCTTATGCCCAGAGCATCTGCTATTATTATTATTTTGGTGAGGGTTAAAGTATTATATATGTCTTTCAAAGATAACCTTTATTGATGTGTAATTTACATATAATAAAATATACCATCAAGTATACAGTTTAATGTGTTTTGACAGATGTGTCATTTTTACACACACACACACACACACACACACACATACACACACGGGTTTTGGTAATATGTTTAGAAATCTTGCAAGCCTCCTAGCCATAGCAGAGATTCTATACTTCTAAAAGAGAGCAGTGAATAATGGTGATGGTTACACAACATTGTGAATTGAATTTTATACCTAAAAATGGTTACAATGGCAAACTTTATTTCATTCTATATTTTACCACAATTTTGAGAGAAAGAGAGTAATTTGCATTGGTTTTTACCCACCCTGAGTGAATTGTCATTCAGCACGGCCAAATGACTTGTCTGAAGCTTGATTTATGCTGTCATAGCTTTATACCCAGTCATAACAACTTTGGGGCTCCGTCAGCGTGAACTGTCGTCGTAGATTTCTGGCACTTTTAATTATTGCCTGTTAAGAGCTCTGTGTTACAGACAGTCAGCTGCTGACAGATAGGAGCAGTTTCCTAGACCGTGTGCAGACGCTGTGTGCGTTTGTTTTTCTGTTAGAATTGTTTTCCCACAAGGCTCGCTTCTGCGCAAGTGGGAGATAAGGCTTTCCTGTAAGTGGCAGCCTGAAGGCTGGAGTGTCCACCTTCTTAAGTCTTGTGCCGACACCCAGAGCACAGGGATGCGCCGATTCCGGAGTGTCTGGCCCCGTGTACGCCCCCTGACCCTGAAGGCCCACGCAGGCTATTTTGCGATGTTCCGTGTGCCATCCCAACAGCTGATCTCAGCAGCTTCTTTTTCTGTGCAGTGCCAGATCCGCTTTGGAGGGAGAAAGGAGATCGCCTCAGATTCCGACAGCAGGTAAATATGTCGCTTCTGAAACCATTTACCGTCCAGACTGAAAAGGTGGTGAAAGATGGCCAGCTTCCATGGTCTGCCTCTGCAGCCAGGAGGTTAAATTTGGGCCAACCGTGGATCATGTGTGTGCAGTGACTCCTTGTCTAACACACTTCTGGATTCCCATGATTCTCCTTCTAGGAATCTATTCTTAGGGAACTACTTGAAATACCTTTCTCTGTAAAGTTATTTTCAGGGTAATTTATAATTATGAAAACTTGGAAACCTAAATACCCAATAATTGGGAAATGGTTAATAAAGTATAGTATGTCAATGGGATGGAATGTTATATAGCTGTTAAAAATGATGTTCGTTAGATTTGTTTTACACAGAAAAGTGCACATATAGTAATTAAAAATTATACATATAGTGAAAATGCATATGTTGTAAAAATAAAAAGAGCAGGATGAGGATGCAAAATTATACAGATGCAGGCTCATCCTAGCTATGTTAAACAACAACTCTGGCAAAAAACACCAAAATGTGAATAGAGGTAGTGTTGGGGATAAGAATATTGGGAATCTTTATGCTTTCTGGTATTTTTTGTGTTTTTTACATATATGGTCCTTTTATGATTAAAAAAAAAGTACTAAAGGCCTGGCACGGTGGCTCACGCCTGTAATCCTAGCACTCTGGGAGGCCAAGGCAGTCACATTGCTCAAGGTCAGGAGTTCGAAACCAGCCTGAGCAAGAGCAAGACCCTGTCTCTACTAAAAAAAAATAGAAAGAAATTAATTGGCCAACTAAAAATATATAGACAAAATTAGCCAGGCATGGTGGTGCATGCTTGTAGTCCCAGCTACTTGGGAGGCTGAGGCAGGAGGATCACCTGGGCCCAGGAGTTTGAGGTTGCTGTGAGCTAGGCTGACGCCATAGTACTCTAGCCTGGGCAACAGAGTGAGACTCTGTCTCAAAAAAAGAAAAGTACTAAAAATTGCCATTGACATTCACGATCCAGGAAAGGCTGATAGAATTGCATGAGCTTGTAACATGGGCTGGAAGGAGGCACATACGTTTTGGCAAGGGTAAGAGACACTCAGGCGTCCTGTCTTTGCTGGAAATGCTCTGTGAAGTCAGTCACAGCTGGTCCAGGAGGAACATCCCTGCATGGGAAGGAAAGGGAAGGGAACTTACTCAGCATTCATCTCATCCTGGAAACCGTCCTTGTCCCCAACCCTCTCACCCCAGCCCATCCAGCTGAGTCAGTCATTCCCTTTTCTGTCCTTTCATGCCCACGTTCTTCTGTGAAACTTTAACAGCCACGAGCAAAACACGTGCAGCTACATTGACTAGAGCTACGGGGATTATTTGAAACTGGTGCAGATTTGAAATGACATCCCCTTACCCCTTCCTTCTTTGTTTAGTTTTTCTCCATAACACTTATCACCACCTAACAGAGTATACATTATGCTTTTTTATTTTGCCTATTATCTGTCTCCTGTCACTATCATGTGAGCTCTGTGCAGGTGGGATGTTTTGCTGTCTTGTTTACTGATATATCTGTAGTGCCTGGAAGCATCTGGAAGGTGCTCAGTAAAGATTTGTTATCCGGGTGAGTGTGTGTATTACATTTTACTGTAGTCAAGTGTTTATATATCTGTGCTACCACGAAGCTTGTGAGCTTTGACGGCAGAAGGGCTGCTTCTCCATTTTTTTTAATCATACATCTCAGTGTTTTGCAGAAGCATTTTGTGCCTGCCACTCATTAGAGTCTCAGTATATGTTTGTGGTGTTAGGTCATTAGACTGACTTATCATTTCAGGTCTTCCTGAGGGCCTGCTATGGGGCCTGGCCTGGGTCAGCACAGTTTGTCATTTGGGGATCCAGGGTCCACTTGCATCAGAATCACCTGGGCTTATTAATTAATGATGCAGGTTCCAAATCCCATCCTAGATCTAATGAATCACAGTGTGTGTATGTATATGTGTGTGTGTATGTACGGGGGGCTGCTTGGGAATTTGCATTTTCAAAAAGTTTTCCAGCTGATTCTAATGGGCACCAAGGCTTCCAGTCCAACCATTGTTCCCAGGCCTGGGATACAGAGATAGTTGAGAAGGGTTCACCCTTCCCTGGCTAGGTTGGTTTGTGTGTATGTATGTTTGTGGGTGTGTATGGTGTGTATGTGTGTATGTGTCCATGACTTGACTTTATCACTTTTCTTCATAATTGAGCTGTCCATGTACTGGGAGAGACAATCCTTCTCTGAATGTTAGATTAATGTGTTCTTATACAGGTTGAGTATCCTTAATCCAAAAATCTGAAATTTGAAATGCTGGAAAATCCAAATCTTTTTGAGTGCCAACATGATACTCAAAGGAAATGCTCACTGGAGCATTTCAGATTTCAGATTTTAGGATTAGGAATGCTCAACCAGTAAGTATATAATGCAAATATTCCAAAATCAAAAAACAAACAAAAAACAAACCAAAATCCGAAATACTTCTGGTCCCAAGCATTTTGGAAAAGGGATACTCAACCTTTTTAATAGAATTTACTGCTATAACATTTATTATGTAAAATGTTGTGTTTTACAGAAGAATTTAAAGAGTTAATTCCTTCCTTGATAACTATTGTTTATGGCTGCAAGGAGTATGCTGGTTAATGTTACTACTGATACTATTTGTTACTGCTTTTGCTGCTCTTTTTTTATGTTGATGCTTAGTTTTCAGGACAACTTTAGGAGGAGCAGTAATATGATTCTTTCTTTACTAATGAAAAAAGAGAAACTCAGATAGGAAAAATGATACAGCGTAGGTTATATATCTCAAAGTGTTACAGTTGGAAGGTGGACCCTAATGTCTTGGGTTCCTTGGTCTGTTCTTTTTGTTACATCACATTTAGTGATTAAATTGGTTTTGAGGCTTGCTTTTTTTAAAATTGTTTTTCCCCATCTCAGGTGATTCCTTCTCAATATCAGAGTCTCAGTTTCATCTTTGAGAAGTGTTTGGCTAAAGGTGGCACCACTGTCATGTTAGAAAGGGCATATCATAGTCCCTGTTTGGTGAGAAAATTTAATCTCAAGAGATAAAGTCAGCAAACATTTAAAAGTAACTTCTGAGGCCAGGCGCGGTGGCTCATGCCTGTAATCCTAGCACTCTGGGAAACTGAGGCAGGAGGATTGCTTGAGCTCAGTAGTTCTAGACCAGCCTGAACAAGAGTGAGACCTTGTCTCTACAAAAAAATAGAAAATATTAGCTGGGTGTGGTGGCTCGCGCCTCTAGTCCCAGCTACTGGGGAGGCTGAGGCAGGAGGACTGCTTGAGTCCAGGAGTTTGAGGTTGCTGTGAGCTAGGCTGACGGAGTCTCAAAAAAAAAAACAAGGGAACTGCTGTGAGGACTGACAAGATGGATGAGTTGCCTTTCCTCCTCAATCCTGACAGGATTGGGGGTCCAGCACTGGAATTTAGCTCAAATCTGCTCACTTCCCTCTCTGTTCCCAACATCTCTCCTGTGGCGGCAGCTAGAGCTTTTAGACAGGCTCCTTACATTTATTTCTTCTTGTCCTGCTTCCATGGCATTGAGAGAATTGTGCAGAGTGGTGATCCCCTCACTGCTCTGCCCCATAGAGCTCCCCTCTAGCTTCTTTTTGCTCCTGGGAGAAAGTCCCACACTTTAACACGGGCTGGAGGCCCCACGTGATTTCCCCTGCTCTCTTCTCCAGCCTCCTGGCCTTTGTTGTCTTTTGTCTTTAAAGCTTTTTGCTCTTTTTTCAGGGAAATCCTCAGATTCCTGACAGTACTCCCCTCCCCTAACAATCCAGTTGTGGACCTGTTTTCCTGGCTCCACAAACTTCTGTAAAGGGATGGATTTGTCCCAAGGCCTGCACTCTGCTGACCCTTGCTCTATACCGTTATAGTCTATAAATCTGTGTAAAATTACACAGTTGTGTGATGGATTAATTATACCTGCCTGCTCAACTAGATGACAAGCTGGAATTGAGTCTGTTTTGCCCACACTTATATCCACAGCATCCATACATAGTAAATGCTCAATAAATATTTATTGGATCACGAGTTGTTCAATAGTAAGTTACTGAATGCCTACTTGGTGTCAGTCTCTGTGCTGGACACTGGGGCTTTCCAAGCATTTCAGACACATTTCTACTTCTCTTTTTTTTTTTTTTGAGACAGAGTCTCACTCTGTTGCCCAGGCTAGAGTGCTGTGGCGTCAGCCTAGCTCACAGCAACCTCAAACTCTTGGGCTCAAGCAATCCTTCTGCCTCAGCTTCCTGAGTAGCTGGGACTTCAGGCACACGCCACCTTGCCCGGCTCATTTTTTCCTCTATATGTTTTTAGTTGACCAATTAATTTCTTTCTATTTTTAGTAGAGACAGGGTCTTGCTCTTGCTCAGGCTGGTTTCGAACTCCTGACCTTGAGCGATCCACCCGCCTCAGCCTCCCAGAGTGCGAGGATTATAACCGTGAGCCACCGCACCCAGCCTGAGTGCCATTTTAAATTTACTGCTTTACGAGAAGTTCTGGGCAAGACTGTGAGTGTCGGCTTGTGGTTTCAGCAAGAGAGTCCAGCTGGTTGGAATGACCATTGGTGGGGACCTTTGAAAGGATGATACACTGGGGTGTCTGCCAGGGCTTTTTGGTAACAAGCAACAGAAATCTACTCCAGCTGAGGATGTTTTGAGCTCAGAGAATTGATGGCAGGCCAGGATTGGAAACAGGAAGGAGTCAGGGTAGCTTTGGAAGACTCCTAAGCTGGGAACAGGAGCTCTAGCAGTGATCTTTTAGCAGGATTGGTGGTCCCTTTAAGGCTCTGTTGCTGGAGTAAACACCAGCTGCTTTTTGACTCTTGTTCTGCTCAAGATTGACATTCCAGGGAGGAAGCCCCTGGTTGGCCTGCCTAAGGTCACTTGGCCACCTCTTGGCCACCAGCAGAAGGATTTGACTAGAGGAGCTTTCTGGGACTCCTTAGGCTTCTGTAGTGAACACATGTCTACTTGGATTTACCATC